CCCGTGTGCCCCTTCACACCCCACCTGACCGCCTCCCGGGCTCTCCCCACGCACCCTGCCGAAAGCGGGAACACCAGGGCTACGCACTGCCTAGGCAGCGTGTGGAAACCCGTCACGGGAGGGCTGCAAAAAGCAGGCGGGACATCTGCCTTGGGAGGAGTTAGACCGTGTGACCCTGGCAGTCGCTTCTCACCCTGTGTGTCTAGGACAGCCTCCCCACACCACTCATGCCGCCTCTTCGCCACAGCATCCTCCTCACACTGTCCTCCCTCTGACACCTAACTGCTCCTACAGTACCCCCAAAGCTGGCACTGTTCTCCCCTACCACTCACCAGGCCGTATACTCTGTGCCCTGCATCAAGTTTTGCCCCTACTGCATGCACTACCCTCTTTACCACACCCTCGCCCTTGCAGATGCTACATTCCCCCACCAAATGGCATGACCACCTAGCCTAGTCTCCCCTGTAACAAAGCCACCCCATGGACATCATTGTGGCTGTCCAAAACACAACTGTCACTGTTGTCCTCTCCCACCCCATAAACACTGTCCCTCCACATTACTCAGCCTTTATACAGCCTAGCCCCTCAAAATATGAACCCACCCACCATAGTGTCAGTCTAGTTCAATACTTGAGTTCTCCTCACATATCTGCACAACATCACTTACTGCCCCCACTGTCCCAGACTATCCCCACAACACAACCTCCAAATAAGTATTTGATTGTACATGGCATCCAATCTGTGCTAGGTGGACAGGACAAAACAAGAGACAGTCCCTTTTCTCATTTACAATCTACTGTGTCACACTGTAAATTGTGCCCTATGCCTGGAATATTTTCCTGTTCTTGTCCCTCCCCTGCATATCTTTCTGTAAAACCCACCACTTCTAATAATCCCCAGCCTTCAAACCCTCCCTCTTCTCAACTACTGTCCATTCTCTTGTGATGTTCTCTGACCAGTCCAAGACAAATGTTACTGGTCTGCCAAAAGTCTGTGAATGGGTTTGCCAGTCCCCTGCATAACAAAGGTTGGGAACCACTGCTTTGGAGGATAGGGTCATAATCAGTGTTCCCTACTGGGGCAGCACAGCTTCACAAGTGATTAATCAGCCCCATCCACTCAGTCAGCTCCATGCTCTGAGCCTCTAACTGGGAGAGGCTGATTAATCACCTGTGAAGCTGCACGGCCAGACAGTTTAGGGCAGTGGTCCCCGCCATGGTGCCTACTGGGCCATTTATTTGTGCCCGCAGAGCAATCTGGGCTGGCCCCGCTCCGGGGCATGCGGCAGGTGCCAGCCCCAGGCATATGCCAGCGCCGGCCCCGGGCGCGCCGCGCATGCGTGGCCCCGCCTCCAGTCACGTGGCCTGTGAGCGGCCCCGCCCCCGTACGCCCAGCGCATGAGCAGCCCTGCGCCAGGCGCCTAGCAGCCCCAAAATGTTGGGGACCACTGGTTTAGGGGAATACTGGTCATAATTCAAAATGATCTGAACAAACTATAGAAATGGTCTGAGGTAAACAGGATGAAGTTTAATAAGGACAAATGCAAAGCATTCCACTTAGGAACAGTCTATGTCTACACTGGCGCGAGCTTGTGCCAGAAGTATGCAAGTGAGGCTAAGCGTGGAATATCGCCAAGCCTCATTTGCATATCTAATGAGCTGCCATTTTTGCAGAAGAGGTTCTTGCGCCAGAAAGAGCCGTCTACACTGCCCCTTCTTGTGCAAGGAAGAGCAGTGTAGATGCTCCTTCTGGCACAAGAGCCTCTTCTGCAAAAATGGCAGCTCATTCGATATGCAAATGAGGCTCAGCGATATTCCACACTTAGCCTCATTTGCATACTTCTGGCGCAATATCGCGCCAGTGTAGACGTAGCCCTACAGAATGGGAAGTAACTGTCTAGGATGGAGTACTACAGAAAGGAGTCTAGGGGTCATAGTGGACCACAAGCTAAACAGAAGTCAACAGTGTAACAGCTGCAAAAAAAGCAAACATGATTCTGGAATGCATTAACAGCAAGACAAGAGAAATCATTCTTCCACTCTACTCTGCACTGATTAGGCCACGATGGGAGTACTGTGTCCAGTTCTGAGTACAACATTTCAAGAAAGATGTGGAGAAATTGGAAACGGTCCAGAGAAGAGTAACAAAAATGATTAAAGAGGAAGACTTTGGTAGAGCGGATATTAAAATCCAGATCTCTTGAACCTTTCTCCAGTACCTTAACATAAGCATTATTCTTTTGGACACAAATGCGAAAGTTGAAGCACACATTTTTGTTTATTTTTATAAGAAGCATTGTTATTCTATTAATGAGAGCTAGTATAGTGAACATTTTGAGTCTGAACAAGTTAAAGTGCAGTGTGTGTATATAATATATATGGACTAGAATGATATCATTGGTCTCAGTTTTTTCCATTTATTATTGGATACAGTCTCATCACAACAGAAGTGGCGACAATGAGATTCATTTTATTAATAAAAAATGAAGCAGAAAATGTCACAAAGCAGTAAATCTGAAAAAGAAAAATGGGTCTCCTGCTGCAAAGGAAACGCTGAGACATTTACAGCAAAACTAACATTGAGGTGCAACTGAAAAGTGTATTTTCAAAAGTAGCTAGAGATAATCTCAAGTTACAATAATTGCCCAGTCACAATGTTCAGTTTGGTTGACAATACTGCTGTTAAATCAAAAACTGATTTGCTAAAATAAAAAAGGAATGATGGAATCAACAACCAACCAACCAACCAGGCCAGCTCAAGGAGGGAGAAAGTGAAGAGACCTGGAGAGACATTAGAAAGCAAAGATACAGGCTTCCTGCCCCAGAAAGTTTTGAAATTCCAAATAGTGTCCTGCAGTTAGCAAGCAGAGGCACTTTTTCTATATTTTGTTAGAAGTTAAATATGGCTTTAAAACATTAAGACAAAGAGCTCTGAATTACATGAGTTAGCCATCGCTTGTGCAGCAGGCCACTTGCAGCAGGAGTTGTCAGGTAGAATTCTGGATAATTCCTTCTGGGAAGTGCATACTAAAGTTAGACTTCAAATGCACTGGCACAGGAGACAACATGCAAAATTCCTCCTCAAGCCCAATCAGTTCTGTTGGCCATTGAAGACTGAAAACATTGCACAGCCTTTACTCTTCTGGGGAGGCTCATAGAGCTATGCCATAGGCAGCCTCTACTTCTATGCTCTCTAGTTGGCTTGACAACTCTAGAAGATTGTGTCATTTTGTTACCTCAAGGAGTCACATTTATTCGGTGTACAATACAAAATGGAGGTCAATTCAGACAGAGACCTTTGTGTGTAATAGGTCAGCTGGTTGAAGATAAACCTTGCTGAACCCATGGGATCTAAATGTCATTCTTCCTCTCTACTCTGCACTGGTTAGGCCTCAGTTGGAATATTGTGTCCAGTTCTGGGCACCACATTTCAAGAAAGATGTGGAGAAATTGGAGAGGGTCCAGAGAAGAGCAACAAGAATGATTAAAGATCTAGAGAACATGACCTATGAAGGAAGGCTGAAAATTGGGTTTGTTAAGTTTAGAAAAGAGAAG